GTTAAGCATTCTTTCAATGCAGAATTTTCTTTCCGACACTTTACTACCATTAGGATTCCAGAGTCTTTGCAACATTTGGTAAAATCTTGAACTTGTTCAGAACACCTCTCTCTGGCCTTTTCTCTCATTATTTTAGGAATCAAAACATCCTTTTCAACGTGTCTGAGATGCTGATCTGCGGGGTCGAGCGCCATCTCGGCGGGCGCAGAAGGTGATTATTATTGATTTGAAATTAAAATTTAATTGGGCATTCTTTATTTTATCTAACATATCTGTATCAACTGATTTTATACAAATTATACATGCTCCAATTTACTCAACTGAAAAATGGGGACAACAATAATTATTCCTCTCCTGGCAAAGTATTCTTTACTTTGATTTCTTTGTTGGCATTTTTTTCTTTTCTTTCCTTTTCTTTTTGAGACAGGATTTCGCCATGCAGGTCAGGCTGGTGTTGAACTCGCTTTGTAGCCCAGGCTGGCCTTTATCTTGCCTCAGCCTCCCAAGTGCTGGGATTACAGGCATGGGTCACTATACCCAATTTCCTTGGGTTTTCTTTCTTTTTCTTTTTCCTTTTTTTTTTAAAGATATTTCTACATTTAAAAAGACTGATGAAGTGAAATGTCCTTCAATATAAGTTAGGTAAGTGAATGAAGAAAGTGTGTCCTCTGCAAAGGTAGAAAACTAGAGATGTTGAACATTAATTAGGGAAAATCAATTAACTAGCATATTAAAATTGATTGTTATTAAAATTGATGTCTATTTTTCCAGAGTAAAAAAACTGTAGAGGTAGATGTGCAGTTCAGTGGTGGAACGCCTGCCTCACACGAGCAAGGTCTGAGGTTCCAGCCTTAGCATCGCAAAAGATAAAATAAAAATTAAAAATACTCAAAATTCCAACAGGTAAACTGAAATAGATATCAAAATTAAGTCTGAATGATTAAAAAAATACTCTGTGAAGAATAGATTTACTACATGTGAGGGTTATGTAGATAAGAGCACATAGAAGACTTAATTGACACCAAATTGATCCTACTGGTTATTTCTGGAGGAAGATAATATAGAATGAGTGGTCTTGATTATATTTGTCATCACTAGGGTCAAAGGGAATTGAGGGCTGGCCAAACAGCTCAGGGGATTAAAGTACCTGCAAGCAGATGCAGGGGATGGGGATTCGATCCCAGGGCCTGCCATGCTGGCTCTGGCCCTGGGGTGTGTTGAGACAGCAACTGAGCCTGTAATCCCAGCTCTTGGGAGGCTGTAAACAAGCAGATCACTACAAGTAAGATCTAGTAGTGAGACCCTGAACACCCTGTAGATCCTTCCCTAAAAATACAAAAAAAAAAAAAAAAAAAAAAAGGGGGGGGGATGGGGCAGATGACTTCACTGCCAAGTTCTATTGAGTGCTTAAAGAAAAAAAATACTAATTCTTCTCACATTTCTCCAGAAAATTTAAGAGAAAAAAATTTTTTTTTTCTTTTTTTTTTTTTTTTTTTTTTTTTTGTGGTACTGGAGATGGAACTCTGGACCCTGCGCTTGCCAGGGAAGTGCTTATTCTACTGAACTATCTCCCCGGCCCTAAAATATGAATTAATCCTTTTTTTTTTTTTGTATTTTTAGGGAAGGGTCTACAGGGTGTTCAGGGTCTCACTACTAAATCAGACTTGTAGTGATCCGCCTGTTTGCAGTCTCCCAAGAGCTGCGATTACAGGGTGTGCGCCACCACGCCCAGTGTCAATCCCTGTCTCAGTGCGCCCTGGGGGCAGGGCCAATACAGTAGGCCCCAGGAATTGAACTGAGTCCCTGTGCCTGCTTTCAGGCGTTTTAATCCACTGAGCTATTTGGCCAGTCCTAGGAGAAAAAAAGTCTTCCAAACACATTCTACAAAGTCAGAACTGCCCTACTAAAATTAAACAAAGACAAAATGAGAAAAGAAAACTACAGGCCAACAATATCTTTGATGGACTTGGATATAAAAATTCTCAAAAAAGTAGCAAATGAGGGGCCGGGGAGATGGCTCAGTGGAATAAGCGCTTCCCTGGCACGTGCAAGGGCCTGAATTCAATCCCTGGTTCCACCAAAAAAAAGTAGCAAATAACATCCAACAGCATATTATTTACATAACCAAGTAGAATTCACCTCATGGATGCTAGATGCAAGGATGGTTCAGCTAATAATAACCAGGATATATCACATGAATAGAAAGAATGACAAAAACCCTAGAATCACCTCAGTATATTCAGAAAAGGCATTTAATACAATTCAACCCTTCATAATAAAAAAAAAGTTACACTAGGAATGTACATCAACACAATAAAGGCTAGTTATGAAGTCAATAGTTAACATTATATATTGAATGTGAAAAAAAGAAATCAAAAGTTTCCTAAGATTTGAAACAAGGATGTGCCTTTCATCACTATTACTGAACACAGTACTGTAGATCCTAACCAAATCAGGACTTACCTGACTTCAAAATTTACTATGCAAAGGTGTGATAACAAAAATAGCCTTGAATTGGTATAAATACAGAGCAATGAAATAGAACAGAAAACCTAAAAATAAATCCATTTATATACAGTCAACTAATTTTCAATGTAAGTGTTAAAAACATGCACTAGAGAAAGAACAGTTTTCTCCATGAACGGTACAAGGAAAACTGGATATCCACATGCAAAAGATAAAACTAGATCCTATCTCTTACCAATTATAAAAATCAACTCAAAATGTTTTACAGACTTGACTATAAGACATGAAACCAATGGAAGAAAATTTATGGAAATAACCGAAGTACATATATATGATACACACGTGAAAATCTCCAGCACACAAAACAATGTGTGGCATATAGTGGATACTTAGTAAATATGAAGTGACTGATTCAAATCACCACCTTGGAAGATTTCCATAACTGAAATGCCCCAAAAGATTTTGGAGATTTGTTTCACAACAAAGTTGTTACTCTGCAACTGTTTTGTACTATGTCCCTCAGGGCATGGAGAGAATGCTTCCAGTCAACAGTAGTTTAATTTCAATACCACTAGGTGTCAGATGTGTATCAAATTTTCTGGCATTATAAACTAGTCAAAAAGACTATAGAGGGGCTGGAGAGATGGCTCAGTGGTCTAAAGCACCTACTTGGAACAAGCTTGGCAAAGCACAGGGACCGCGGTTCAATCCCCCAGCACCACATGCCA